AAAGGAATTAAGGGTAGAATTAAAGTCCTTTTTTCAAACCACATTTTTTATATAAGAACATTTTTTAAATGTAGATTGACCAATTTATGATTAATCAGGTGTTTTATGATGTTGTTAGAACACACTTGTTCACAGGATCAATACACTGGTGAGAACCAGAGCAGCAGCAAGTCGTTCACTCAAGGCTCAATCTCCTGAGACAAGATTGTTCTGGATCCCCTGGCAAACCTGAGTCATGTGACTCTAGAGAAGACACCAACTGGTCCTTTCAACAGATGAAGTGTTTTAAGAGTCGTGATTCTCACATGCAGCAGAACTTCGATGAATTGTGAATCACAGATAAAGTGTTCATAACCCCCTCTCCCTCCATAGATCACATCAGGTCCAGTTAACTCTACTCAAAGTTAAAATCATACTCAAAGTCCAGGGAGGTCATGTCAGAGGGGAGGCCGAGTGTTTCAGTAGTGATCTCCATCACCTGAGGGTCTCCCTCACTGGGGTTCCCCTCCTCTGACTGAGACCCAGTGTCTGGGTCTGACGTGTCCAGGCTTTTTGGGTCTGAAGCTGCTGATTCAGAGTTCCCTGAAGCCATCTCAGATTGTAACTCAAACTGGCCCCGCTGTTGCTGCTGCCGCCGAGTCTGGTATCTGGTTTGGGATCGAGTTTGTCTGACGGGGCAGGGGGCAGGGGGAGTTTTCTTGCATCTAGTTTTGGGGCTTGGTTTGGGTTCAGGTTCTAGAGTAGTATCAGGATTGGTCTCTGTATGAGACTGGGTGTCCTGCTCTGGTTTCAGCAGAGTATGAGGGGTTGAATCTGGCTCAGCAGGTTCAGTTTGTAGGGGAATTTGGGACTTGTTTTGAGGTACACTCCGAGGCTCTATCTGAGCTGATGGAGTCAGTTTTGGTTGAGTTGTTGGTGAAGGTGTTTCAGATAGAACCTCCTCTGGTGTTGGAGCAAGGCCAGACTTCAAGGACCAAACTGAAGCAATCTGAATTTCAGATTTTAGCTGGGATTGTGAACTTGGTGAGGAACTGGTTGAGTCTGGTTGTGGCGATGTTTGGACGTCAGTTGTAGGTTGGACCTGGGTTTGGGCTGGAGGCTGAGGCTGTAGATTTACTGCTTGCGGAGCTGGAAGTAGACTTTCATATGTGCTACTCTTGTCAGCTTTGGAGTCTGATTTGGTGATGGAAGAAGGACCCGATTGGCTAATGCCACTGTAAAAGATGCCAAATAATTCCCTGGCTTTGGCTGCAGCCAGGTTACTCTTAAGTTTCTCAGACTTCTGAACTCTGTCACTCATTTTCATAAAAGGTGGAGGCTTGACGAACACAGTACGAGTCTGCTCATTCTCTGGGACACCAGGAGCAGCAACGTCAGACACTATCTTTACCATTGATTGTGGAGGTTTGGCCTCCGAGTCTGTAGACCTGGCCTGAGTCTGTGTGGTCTTAGCCGGAGTGGGAGTGGTCTTAGCCTCAGCCGGTGTGGGCTTAGCCTCAGTTGACAATGGTGCAGAAACAGGTGGTACAGGTTTAACCTCAATTTGTGATTGTCTGGACACTGGCAATGGAAGTCCAGCTTCTAATGGTTTAGGTGGAGATTTACCTTCCAGTAGTGCGTTTTGAGCACTTAGAGCTTTCGAGAGACCATCAGAGAACAGCGGCAGTTCTTTTAGAGGGGGTCCTTGTAAAGTTGTGTTTTGGGGTCTGATCGAGAGAAAGGTATTCAGAGGTGCAGGTTTACCCATCATGGTCGTCTTCCTCAGGACTGCAGCAGGGGCTGGGAGGTTGGGCCTGATTCTTCCCCGGTTGGTTCCATTGGAAACCCAAGGAGTAGGCGTTGGTTGGTTACCCCCGAGCTTCTCTGCAATCTCTTTCGCGACAGCCACAGATTTAGCAAAAGAATCCTCTACAGAGACTAGCTGTAGGCTTGCAGCCGCTTCATCCTCCTTGATGAACTCAGCAGCAATTTTCTCAGCCACCTTTGTCAGCGTGTTCTCCTTCTTCTTCCAAGTGAACTTTCCAAATGTTGGGGCTGTGACTGCAGGGCCGGGCTTGCCAGCCTCCAGGCTCTGTTTGCGGAGCTTGGCCCTCATGGCAGGGCTAGGACCACAGAAGATTTTGGGTGGGTCATAGGGCTTTGGTGGAGGTTCAGGTTTGATGGCCTCTGGTTTTCCTTCTGGTTTTCCAAGCTCAGGCTTTTTAAACGCTTCTCTCCGAGTCTTGGGGTTCCCTTCATCTCGTTCTCTGTCATATTTGGATCTGGAGTCTGGAGGATATTTATTGTATTTATACTTTTCTTCATCATCTCTTAAACCATATTTTGGGCGATCATCATATCTGTCATCGTTGTCCTTGCGATGCCGGTAACGATGCTCCTCTTCTTTGCTGTTTCTGTATCGGTCACCCCTCTCCTCTTCGCTGTAACGGTATTTATCATCCCTTTTGTTGTATTTATAGTTTTCGTCCTCAACTTTCTTACTGTAAGATCGCTCCTCTTCCAGATTCTTGCTACTTTTAAAATCCTCCCCTGTCGTGTTGTCTTTCAGTCTGTCATCCTCGTCCTCCTTTTTGAATTTAGATTTTTCTTCCTTCAAAGCAGCATCGTCGTCTTCTTTCTTTTTCTCCTTGTCTTTCTTCTCTTTTTTGTGTTTGGACTTTTCCTCCTTGTCTTTGTGGCTTTTCTCATCGTCGTCATGCTTGCGTTTCTTTCCACTTGTGTCTAAGGCCAGTCCCGCCTGCCGATCCAGGTTCCTTCTCTGTTCGTACAGCGGATTCTCATACATTTGTTTCTGGTGAACAAGGCATCAAGATATAAAATTAAGAGACAGTGAAGATGATGTACAAAAAAAACCAAACAAACACAGCAGAGTCTTTTTTAACTTGATTTGATCAGAACAGGAGTAATTGCTCTGGTGTATGATTTAGTGACATCTAGTGGTTAAGTTACAGATTACAACCAAGAGTTTGATTAAAGGTATAGTCCACTGAAAAATGTAATTGTACACATTATCTACTCACCACTATGCCCTTGGAGGGGGGGTGAAGTGTTTGAGTCCACAAAACACAAGGAGTTTCAAGGGTAAACAGAGTTGAAGCAGAATCCAATACAATTGAAGACAATAGTGACCAAAGCTTCAGACGTAATAAAACAACAGAAAAAACATATGATGCCTCCATACTGCTCCTGTGGTGTCCACAGGCCCCGACATTCATATTTGAGTTTAAACATCCTTTGTTTTAATCCTAAATATCCGCTACCGTAAGTAGCGAAGCCAACAGACGTAGCCACACAATAATGTGTCCAAGCGTCTGCGAACGCACCAGATAGGAAGATATCAGTGGACTTTTAGGTTTGAAACTTGAATGTTGGTTGATGACACCACAGGAGCTGGATGGAGGATTTGATGACACCACAGGAGCTGGATGAAGGACTGTTATGTTTTTTTGCTGTTGTCTTATTACATCTAAAGAATCAGTCACCAGCTATTTCAGTTGTGTTGGATTCTGCCCTAACGCTGTTTACCCCTGAGACTCCAGAAGTGTTTTGTGGACTCAAACACTTCACCACCCCCCCTTTTTTTTCAGTGAAGTATCCCTTCAAGATGGTTCGATGAACAAAGCCACATTCCTCAACTGCACTTAAACTTGAATTTTAAAATATATAAAAAATCTTTAAAAAACGTTCAAATACCTTGTATTTGTCATTGTGAGCATGTGTGGTGACGTGCTCCTCTGCACAGATGGCATCTCCATAAAACTCTTTACATAGCAGGCAGAAGAATCCTCTGACGGGCTGCAAGAACTCTGAACCTGCAGCAAAACACACAAACCACAGACTGAACCCACAGACAGTAAAAAAAAAAAAGTGTCAATCATGTTTACCTGGTGGATATCTTTTTTCAAAACTTCAACGTCAGGACAGGAGAGGGTTAGTGCTCTGACATCTGACTGTGAAATTTTGAAGTAATTGATGATAAAGAGTGGAGACGTTTTATTTAGGAGGAATAACTGGAGGAAATGTGTTTCATCTGCTCAGTGACAGCAAACATATGAACACTGATGAGCAGTCAAACACATTTCCTGCCTTCATCTGATGGACACACATGATACTAATGACAGGTGAGGACAGACATCTCCTTTGGTTCCATGTTTTCATTAACAGATCCACACTGAGTTCCACCTGGAAGCGGAAGATGACTAACAACATTCAGCAGATCGCAGAAACAGCAGCATTACCATGGTGTCTGAGGGAACTGATGGTTGGCACTACAAGTACCTTTGGCAGGTTTGGTCAGTTTCTCTTCCGGCGGCGTGTTCTTGGTGATTTTGGTGGAAGTAGAGGCCCAGGGCCGGTTGTACGGGTCAAGAGTCTGTGGAAAGAAAAGGAAACGTAAAGGATAAAAACAAAATGTCCAGTCCTCGTAAAATTAAATGAATTAAATTGGATCAGTCTTATAAAGTGAGATAACATATCTTATGCATTACGCATTTTACGAACCTTTCGGTGAGTTTTGCTTTGCAAGTGCGTGAAAAAATCAAACATGGAGCCAGATGTGACGTTACAGTTTTTGCACCAGTGGTTCCCAGCATCATAGTATTCAAAAGGCTCCGGTGGAGGGGTCTCAGGTGGGGCGCTGACAGGTGGCTTAATGGGTGACGCTCTTGGCGACATTGATGGCGGTGCTGCTGAGGTCTGCTAGAAAACAAGGATGAAGGAAAGTCAACATGGCAGGTGATGAACAGTCAGGATTCACTCCCACAGAAACATTCAGAGAAAGAACAAGTTCATCTGGAAAACAAGATGAGAAAGTTTCTTACCTTGAGCGACTTCCAGACTCCAACGTGTTTACTCAGTAAATCCGTCGCTTTTAAGACCAACGACAACGTGTATTGTGAAGTTTCCGATTCCCTTGTTTTTGATATCTTGAGTCATTTGGTATTTTAATGAACTGAAGACACAGTTCAAACATCAAAGTCTGAATTCACCAGTTTAAAACTTCTGTCTGAATAAAGTCACTAATTTGAATGATCGATCAATGTTCCCAATCTAATCAATGTTTATCGATTTGTCCTTGAGCTGATCAACAGAATAAATCACCTGTTCTTAATGTAAATCTTGAAAATCTTGCAGTCTGTGTGGGCTCAAGCTGACTCACTGTTCACCCGAGATCAGTGTGTTCGTCTCTGTGCATCTGATTCTAGATCTAGGAAACAGACTAGTAGTGATCAGACTTTATCTTATATACGGAGACAATTCAAGTCTTTTACTGTGAAATTTGACAACAGGAAGTGAAGAAGAATAACTGAGGAAATGAACCCATGCTGCCTTTTTTACTCTGATAACAGAGCTGAACACAGCTGAACACTACGCACATACACACATGACGCTGCGTCCAGCCGCCATCAACAAACAACAAGCGACCTAAAACAAAGGACTTCAGTTGAGTTCAGGTCATAGTTGTTTTGATCAGGTCGAACAATAATCACTCAGATCAATAAACACCATTCATGATATAAAACATTTTTAAAGGGATGTGATGATGTGATGGGATGATGTGTTGAGATGTGATGATGTAATGTGGTGATGCGATGTGGTGATGCAATGATGAGCTGTGGTGATGTGATGATGTAATGTGATGATGTAATGTGGTGATGTAATGATGAGCTGTAATGATGTGATGTGATGATGAGCTGTAATGATGTGATGTGGTGCTGAGATGTGG